CATTTGCCTCATTAGTCCATAAACCTTGGACCAAATGAATCTGCTCTAGCAAAGACACATCTGGCACTGAAACCTACTTTGTAGCTCTCCAGAGTCCATTGTTCTTTTGTAGGTCATACTGATGAATGAAGTGAAGATTTCGTGTGCACTTCCTCTAGCGTCTTTAGCCTTTAATTGTCATCTTGACCAAGTAGGGAAGGCTAGTTTGAGAAGTTTCCCATGGCTTACCTCAGATGACAAAAAACAAAAAACAAAAACAAACAAACAAACAAACGAAAACAACTACTAATTTGGAGGTTGTGCCAACTACCAAGTGTGTACCTTCTATTCTCCATTGGAAACTGGGGAAATGAGTCTGAAAATCTAGTAGACCTACTGTGAAGTAGATCTGGGCCAAAATTTGATTACTAGCATGGTCCCCCTATGTCTTGTGTCATGACAGTGCTTCGCATTCCCAGGTACCAGTGTCTTCTGAGACGGTATCCAGAAGCCCTTGAAATGCCTGAGTCTTGAAGTTCCCCCTGTGACTACTAGAAGAAATGTCCAAAGACCCCATAGTGAGGCACTTGTGGAGACACAGGGTCTTGTATAGTCTAGAAAATTGGATAGAGGTTGTAAATGGGTTATGTAGCCCTGCGTGGCCTAAAACTTGCTATGTAGACCCAGCTGACCTCCAACTCACAGAGAGCTCTGCCTCCCAAATCCTGGGACTAAAGGTGTGGGCCACCATGCCAGGTGTGATTGTTTGTTTGTTTGTTTGTTTGTTTGCTTATCATTGTGAAGTGTATGTGAGAGAAAGCACGCAAGCAGGCGCGTGTGTGCACGGTGTATGTGTATGTGTGGAGGTCAGAAGACAACTTTTGGGAGTCATCTCTTTCCCTCTACCATAGGTTTCAGGGGATGAACTCAGGCGACAAGTTCGTGCTTTGAGCATGTTAACTCACTGAGTCATCGTGCTGGCCAGAGACTGGATTCTTGTTCATGTTTTCGTTTTTGTTTTGGAGGAGGGCGGTGGTACAGTCCCCAGCCTCATTTCCTTCCTGATTAGTCTAAGTTTTAAGCTATCCCCACTACTCCTCACCTGTCTTGCTCTGAGGAACAGCATGATCATCACTGTCATTAGCTTTGAAAAGTCCCTTTGTAGTTTGCTTCCTTGGACTCTTCCTGACACTAGCTGTGAAGATCTTCCAGAATGTTTGGGGGAGCACGCTAAGGAAGGCTGCCTCTGAGGAAATAAGGGGAGTCTGGTTGGGCAGATGGAGAACTTCTACTGTGATTTGGTTACAGCAGGTCCCAGCCAGGACCATAGGGACTCTGAAGCTGAATGACTTTTCAGAGCCATGTGAATTGAGGCAAAGAGAATGGACTCTTATTCCCCTGAGCCCCACCGAGAAGGCACTAAATGCAGACTGTCCCTGAGGAATGGGAGGCATAAGCAAGGAGGCAAGTTCCTTTCTGTTTGAGCAGTTCTGAAGGGCGAGTGAACTGTGAGCCATGAGCAGGCTATATTCCTTATTGCTGAAGAGGAAGACCCACTATAGTTCCCTTCTAGAAACAGCCAAGAAATTATTCCCAGGCTCCTTCTCTGGATTCCTGAATTGAAATACCTAATGTTTTTTATTTATTTATTTATTTATTTATTTATTTATTTATTTATTTATTTATTTGTTTATTTATTTATTTTGAGACAGGGTTTCTCTGTGTAGTTTTGGTGCCTGTCCTGGAACTCACTCTGTAGACCAGGCTGGCCTTGAACTCACAGAGATCTGCCTGGCTCTGCCTCCCAAGTGCTGGGATTAAAGTTTTTTGCCACCACTGCCTGGCAAAAATACCTAATGTTTTAATAGCTGGAGCTGAGGTATAGATTGATCTTTTTCTTTTTTAACTTGTAGTTATAGTCATTTTTAAAACCTCAGAAGCTGGGGATATAGCTCAGTTGTAGAGAGCTTTCATAGTGTCTTAGTTGGGGTCTCTGTTGCTGTAGAGAGACACAATGACCATGGCAACTCTTACAAAGAAAAACATTTAATTGCGGTGGCTCACTTACATTTTATATTTTTATTTGCTCAGCTTGCTCCTTTTCATTATAAATCTTCATCAGAGTTAACACTAATAGCCATATGACAGAGTCAGTCCTAGGCTGTTTTGAGATTTCCTCTGCCAATAGAATTAATCCAAAACTCTTCACTTTAGCCTCAGGCAGACCCTTAGTCAAGGGCAAAAAGCAGCCACTTTCTTGACCAAAATATCACAAGACTGATTTCTAGGCACCATACTGAAATTCTCCTCTGAAACCTCTTGAGCCAGCTCTGGACAGTTCAAGTCATTGTCAGAACCATTGTCTTCCATGCTCCTCTTATGGCCCATTAAGCATTGCTTTCCTAACCCAAAGTGCCAAAGTCCAAATTCCTCCAAACAAAAACATGGTCAGGGTGCTGGAGAGGGGGCACAGCGATCAAGAGTACTGACTGCTCTTCCAGAGGACCTGCGTTCGAGTCACAGCACCTACATGGCAGTTCACAGCTGTCTGTAATCCCAGTTCCAGGGGACCTGACACTCATGGCAAAACACCAATGTACATGGAATAAAAATAATAAAATTCAAACAAACAAACAAAAATGGTCAGCCCTACCACAGCAAAATACCCCAGTCCCTGGTGCCAACTTGTCTTAGGTTTTCTATTGCTGTAAAGAGACACTATAACCACAGCAACTCTTATAAGGGAAAATATTTAATTAGGGCTGGCTTACAGTTTCAGAGGTTCATTCCATTATTGTCATGATGGGGAGCATGGTGCCTGGGAATATGACAGCATGCAGGCAGACATGGTGCTGGAGAATTCTACATCTTGCAGACAAGAGGAAGTGAACTGAGTGTCACATTGAGGGAAGCTTGAGCAAAAGAGACCCCAGAGTGACACATTTCCTCCAATAAGACCACACCTAATAGTGCCACTCCCTTTGGGGACCATTTTTTTTTTTTCAAACCACCACACATAGCATGCACAAAGCTCTGGTTCAGTTCCTAGCACTGCATAAACTGGGTGTGGCATAGGCACACAGCAGGGTGAAGGCAGACAGCAAGGTGAAGGATCAGAGTTATGTTTGGCTATATTTTACAAGCTCAAGTCCAACCTGGGATATGTGAGACTATCTCAAAAAAAAAAAAAAAAATCAGAAATGAAATCTTTTGAATCCTGTCTTTTGTTGTTATCATTGTTGGTTTTGTTTTCTTGTTTTTAGACTACTATGTAGCCCTGGCTGGTTTGGAACTTACTATGTAGACCAGGCTGGCATTGAACTCATAGATCTTCCTGCCTCTGCCTCCTGAGTGCTAACATTAAAGGTGTGTGCACAATTGTCCAGAAGGGAAATCTTGTGTGTGTGTGTGTGTGTGTGTGTGTGTGTGTGTGTGTGTGTGTGTGTGTGTGTTTGAGACAGGATTTTTTTGTAGCTTTGGAGCCTATCCTGGAACTCTGTAGACCAGGCTCCCATGGTACTCACAGAGATCCACCTGCCTCTGCCTCCCAAGTGCCACCACCGCCTGGTTCTTCTTTTTTTTCTTTTTTGAAGACAAGGTTTTTCTGTGTAGCCCTAGCTGTCCTCACTTTTGTAGACCATGCTGGCCTTGAACTCACAGAGATCCACCTGCTTCTGCCTCCTGAGTGCTGGGATTAAAGGAGTGTGTCACCACCACCCAGCCAGAAGGGAAATCTTTTAAATAGAAATGGTTACTTACCTGGGGTATATAATGTCTACTTTTTATGAGAATTGCAGGGAACTGGAAGACAAGAAAAAGATTCAGAATCTGTTAGCTCTTGTGGGAACAGACACCGGTGAAGTGACCTATTTTTATAAGGAGCCTCCCCACAAAGTAAGTAATCTTTGCTGCTATGGTATGATGAGTGTGACTTTTACAAGACACGGTGAGGGTCTGTAGTCAGAGCGTCTCTACTTGTTAGAGATGCTGCGTGGAGAGTAGTTAGCAACCAGTATCTACTGGAAGTTTAAAGCTTTTCTCTGCAAAAAACCTTTTGAAGATTTTTTTTTTGCACTATTAAAAAACCATGCTTGGGGGCAGGGTGGTGGTGGCTGTAGAGATGGCTTAGAGGTTAAGCGCACTGACTGCTCTTCCTGAGTTCAATTCCCAGTAACCACATGGTGTCTCACAACCAAATATGATGAGATCTGGTGCCCTCTTCTGGTGTGCAGGCATACATGCAGGCAGAACACTGTGTATATAATAAATAAATAAATAAATCTTTAAAAAACAAAACAAGCTGGTTGGTGGTGGCACATATCTTTAATCCCAGCACTGGCCTACAGAATAAGTTCCAGGACAGATAGGGCTACACAGAGAAACCCTGTCTCAGAGGGAAAAAAACAAAAAGAAACTTATGAGGGGCTGAAGAGATGGCTCATCGGTTAAGAACACATTTTGTTCCAGTGGACCTGGGTTTGGTTCCTAGCACCCACATGGCAGCTCACAACCATCTGTAACTCCAACTCCAGGGCATCACACACCTTCTTAGACATGTACACGAAGGCAGAACATCCATACACATAAAATAAGTAAATTAAAAATTTAAAAGAAATCTCTGAATGCTCTCTCAAGGTATAATACATTTTCAGTGCAAAATGAGTCCTAAATAGTCCCACGAGTCATTTCAGGAGGGCTGTTACCTTACTGGGAGACCTGGATTTTAAATTATGCTTCCTGTGTAGTTCTTTGTCAGTGCTACTAAATTTAGTACATTTTCTTCTTTTCCTTTTTTTTTTTTTTTTTGATAACAAGGTTTCTCTGTGTAGCCCTGGCTGTCCTGGAACTTGCTCTGTAGACCAGGATCCTTATATTTTCTTCTTTAAACAAGAATTTTTGCTATTCAAAATAGGGATTGTGAAGAGGATATTGTTAGAAGGATCATATTTTGAAAACTCAGAATTCCAGTGGATACTGATTTTTTTTTCCTCTGATTCTTTTTTTTTTTTTTTTTTTTTGTTTTTTTGGTATTTTGAGACAGGGTTTCTCTGTGTAGCCCTGGATGTCCTGGAACTCACTCTGTAATCAGGCTGGCCTCAATCTCCAAGAGATCCTCCTGCCTCTGTCTCTGGAGTGCTGGGATTAAAGGTGTATGCCACCGCTGCCCAGTCTTGTCCCTGATTCTTAAAAAGAGTAACTTGCCAGAAATTTGAAAACACTCAGAAGTGTTTATTTGTTTTCATTGTATGCTTTAATTCCAAATTGTATCACTGTTGATGAATAAATGTACTTTTCTTTTGCTTTAAGAAAAAAAAAAAAGAAAAGAAACTTAACCCTGGGGTTAGGCCATATCTAGAGTCCTTGCCTAGCTAGTATGAGGTGCTTAGTTTATCTCCAGCACTACACCAGAGAAGAACAAAAAGAAAACTAAAGCTTAGAGGGACAGATGTTGTTGCTGAGATTAGAGAAGAAAGCAATGTAGTCTTTGTGAAGAAGACATTTCAGTTCTTAATTTCTTTTTAAATCTTTTTTTTTTTTCTGGAGCTGAGGACCAAACCCAGGGCCTTGCACTTACTAGGCAAGGGCTCCACCACTGAGCTAAATCCCCAACCCCTTAAATCTTTTTTCTACTGATTATAAATTAATAATGGTCTTTATCATGAACACACAGATAGTGAGACATACTTTAGTCCCCAGCACTCGGGAGGCAGAGGCAGGAGGATCTCTGATTTCAAGGCCAGCTTGATCTATACAGCAAGTTTTAGGACAGCCAGAGCTACAGAGAGAAACCCTGTTTTGGGGGGAGTGGAGAGTGGACAGGTCTGAATATGTAACCCAAGCAAGTCTGGACCTCAGGAAGTACCCCAATCTGGCCTCAAACTTGTCATCTGCATGTCTTAGCCACCCAAATATGGGGATCACAGGGGCACACCATCTTGCTTCTCTGCCTTTTCACATTTAAAGAATTTCTCTGTAGTATTACCATATGTATCTAATGTGCATATTTTTACTGTTAATGTCCTTGTCAAAGAACACCTTACTTTTGTTTTATTTGTTTTGGGTTTTTTGGGGGGAGGTTTGAGACAGGGTTTCTCCATGTAACAGCCCTCTCTGGCTGTCCTGGAATTCACTTTGTAGACCAGGCTGGCCTTGGACACAGAGATCCGTCTGCCTCTGCCTCCCAAGTGCTGGGTTTAAAGGTGTGCGCCACTACACCTTCCTCACAGAGTAATTCTCAAAATATATTTTATTAAGTAGCTCTGTGTTTTTATTTATTGTTAGTTTGTATTAACACTGGATTTTATCCAAAAAAATTATTTTGTACATGTTACCTTTCGTATAAATGTAATGAGAGTACATGATTATATCAGTTTTAAGCAATTTAATTTATAAATGTTGGATCTGTAGAACTAAGGCTAAAAACTGCAATTTCACACATATTGAGACTACTTCTATACCTTTTTTCTTCTTTAGGTAAGCATTCTCCAAAAGACTGTCCAGGGTGTACATGTGTGTGAACAGTATGAGCCTTCCGCTTTCAAAGCAGGTAACCACTTGTTCTAGAAATTTTCACTGATGTTGAATTGAAAATCCCAATGCAAGTGATTAGAAGATTTTCCTACTAGACAGAGATAGTGTTGTTCATAATGATGCCTCTGGCAGTCTTATACCATACATCTCTAGAACTATGCAAAGAATAAACTATTGTTTAATGTAAGGAGTTTTTGTTGTTTTGTGTGTGTATGTTCATATGGAGGCATGTGTGTATGGGTGTGCATTTGTGTGGATGCCAGAGGTTTATGTCAGGGGTCTTCACCTTTTTGAGACAGAGCTTCTCACTGACCCTGGCGTTCACTGACTTGGCTAGACTCTGTCCAGTGAGCTCTAGGGATCCTCTTGCTTCTGCCTTGCTGGTGTTGGGGTATCGGGTGTGTGGACCTGGCTGCTGTTTACCTGGGTGCTGAGGATCTCAACTGGAGTCCCCTTGTTTACACAACAGGCACTTTACTGACTGAGCTGTCTCCCCAGCTCCTTAGAACAACTTTCTTTTGCTTTTTAAAAAATACATTCTTGGCCGGG